CAAATTGTAATTGACACATAATAATTGCATATATTTGCGGGGATAGCGTGGTGTTCCCACACAGCACCCCATGTGTAATGAGCAGAGTCCGTGGCACATCGTCACCTCAAACATTTATCATTGTTGGGAACATTAGGACCTCAGAGAGGGTGATGTCCAAGTTGACCTCAAGGAGGGAACGCAGGACCCTGCGGGTGTGGGAGGAGGGAGGGGAGGATTCAGGGGCTGCAGCAGCTCTGGGCTCCTGGGCAGAGCAGAGAGAGGGGTGAAGGGCCGAGCTGGGCCAGGTGGGCCTCCAGGAAGACTGTGGATGTTCTAAGGGGGACGGAGCAACAGGGAGTCTTCTGAAAACTCACTCTGGTGGGGTGTGGGCCTGGTGGGAGCAGGGAGACCGGAGAAGACGTGTAGAGTCACCTGCGAGAGGCGGGGAACCCTTGTCCAGTGTGACATCGTGACAGCTGATGGGCTGCTGGCCAAGGTGTGGAGGAACGACGGCCTTTGGGATTTGGGGCCTGCAGCCCTGGCTGGGGCGTGGCTGCCTGGTGTTGGCCGGGGAGGAGCGTAGCTCTGCGCTCCCTGCTCGAGTCCCTGTTTCCCAGTACCCCCCCCCACCACTCTTAGTTATTACCCCAACTGTCAAAATACACCCGTCCCATGTGCCTTTGGCCCTGGGGTTCTGGAGGGCTCCGGCCTAGGCCTGATCTCCACTCAGAGCAAGCGCGGAGGCTCCCCAGAGGGGCCTGGAAAGTGGGCCTTGGCCGGGCAGCCTCCCCAGCCTCACTGAGGCCACAGAAGCGCTCCTGTGGTCGGCTGTGCTTTGCTGTGTAAGGTTTCATTTGAAGAAATGGATCATTAGCCTTGAAAAGTTTGAAAGCCGCTGCTGCTGCTGCTGCTGCTGCTTCTTCTTCTTCTTCTTTTTTAAAATATTTTTTAGTACCTTTATTTTTTATTTATTTATAGGTGGTGTTGAGGGTCGAACCTGGTGCCTCACACATGCTAGGCAAGTGCTCTGCCACCAAGCCCCAGCCCCAGCCCTGAAAGCCACTTCTTCAGAGGTGTATTTCCTTAAGACGACCTTCACGGGTGAGGGCAGGGGAGATGCTGGGCCACCAGAGTGCAAGAGGCATTTGGGGCAGGGTTACAGATTGACTCTTTGCTCCCCGCTGAGTAGCTGGCCTGGGAGAGGACATGGGGGCTCGTCTCCTGGGTGTGGAAATGGCCTTGGTTACAGAGGGGTTTGGCTCTATAGGGTGAAGTTAGGCTGGTTTCCTCCTTGGCACTCGTGGGACACCCGGGCTGGTTGTGTAGGTTAGAACTTCAACTCCGGAGGGCAGCTGCGAAAGGTGGGAGTGGGAGCCCCGATTTATTCCCCTCCTCCCCGGCCATGTCCAGTATAGCTGTGTGTCCGTTTAGCACTAATTTGCGATGGGGGAAGGCCAAAGCCTGCCGCGGTCTAGCTGGGCACAAAATCACGAGCCACTCACAGCCTTGTAGATTCAAACAGCAATTCTTTATTCCCGAACTCTCACCGGCACTCTACACGCACGTTCTGGGGAAAATTCCACACCTCCACCAGGCTCTGCATCCCAAATACTCTCTGAATCCCGCGAGAACTCAACGGGAACTCAAGGAGCGGGCGCCTGAGGCAGCAGGATACGCCCTGTTCCCAGCAGGGTACACCCTAAACCTGGAACCTTCCTAAACCCGGATCCGCCCTGGTCCTTGAGCAGGGTCACCTTTCTCAAACATTCATGCAATGTCACTGCAAATGACCTGGGTCCAAGGCAAGCCCATTTCCACAATGGAGAGTCCTCCCTCTAAGCAACATTGGGTAGGCTGACAAGGAAATTGCCATGCGTCATTCCTACTTGGCTATGGCTCTCAACATCACTGGTGACACCATCATAATTGCAGTGATGCAATTATTAGAAATTTTTTTTCAAAAAGCCCATTAATTTTAATTTCTGGTGGTGCAGAAATTAGAAGTCTCAGATGAGGGTGTTAAAATTTATACACAAGAGCCAATTTGGAAAACATTAAACTAGAAGGAAATTGGTTTAAAACCACATCAAAAAATTAAAAGGACTAAAGTAATTCTAAAAACTAAGACAAAATGCTTTTGGAAGACTTTAATTTAAAAGGATCTTTAAATTTCCAAAGGATGCATATAGGATATTTTGGAACATCATCCCTAAAGAAAAATCAGTTAATGTTTTACTTAACAGGAATCCCATACAATCCACACGGACAAAGCATAGTTGAAAGAGCTCATCAAACTATTAAAATGTACTTATTAAAGCAAAAAGAGGGAATTGGAAAGGGGTATATATCCCCCAAAGATAAACTTAAAATAACGCTTTTTACTCTAAACTTTTTAAATTTAGATTCATCAGGGCTCAGTGCTGCGGAAAGACATATGTATCCAAAAAAATGTACATAAGCCTAAGGTACTTTGGAAAGATATTCTAACAGGACAATGGAAAGGTCCTGACCCAGTGATTGTCTGGAGTTGGGGGTCTGTTTGTGTGTTTCCACAGGGAGAACAGCAGCCGATTTGGATTCCAGAGAGACTAACCAAAGCAATTTCTACAGACCAAAAAGAAGATGATTTGACTCAAATCCATAACAGCTGATATCCAGAGCTCCAGCTTGGCTATTCTTACATCTGCGAACTGCTTGCAGAACCTGCCTGGACTATGTATCACTTGTATACATTGTGAACTATCGTTTGGTGCAGCGAATTGTGGTAGTGCTGGCATATCTTTGCTGATGGTGTCACCAGTGATGCAATTTTTCCAAAGGAGCCGTCAATTGGCTTGGTGTCGTGGCATTTCTGTATCCTCCTCCCTTCTGCTAGTGATGGTCTAAAATTTGGGGGCCAACAGAGGTGAGGCAAAGAACCTCACCCCCCCACTGGCACGAAGTCCAAATTTGGGGGCCAACAGAGGTGAGGCAAGAACCTCACCCCCCCACTGGTGCATAGGCCTATCCACAAGTATGGCTGTATGCTGGACCGGTAGTCAGTGACGGGTATGATCCAATTGCAATGGTACCAACCTAAGACAGGAGGCTGACGCCTAGAGGTCAGTTCATCCCATGACGGGTAAGGACCATATGTTGAATTGGACAACCTAGCAGGCACGGTCTCTAAGCCACATTGCTTGTTGTTTAATTAATCAGAAGGGGGGAGAGGCTGAGAGCCATAGCCAAGTAGGAATGACGCATGGCAATTTCCTTGTCAGCCTACCCAATGTTGCTTAGAGGGAGGACTCTCCATTGTGGAAATGGGCTTGCCTTGGACCCAGGTCATTTGCAGTGACATTGCATGAATGTTTGAGAAAGGTGACCCTGCTCAAGGACCAGGGTGGATCCGGGTTTAGGGCGGTTCCAGGTTTAGGGTGTATCCTGCTGGGAACAGGGCGTATCCTGCTGCCTCAGGCGCCTGCTCCTTGAGTTCCCGTTGAGTTCTCGCGGGATTCAGAGAGTATTTGGGATGCAGAGCCTGGTGGAGGTGTGGAATTTTCCCCAGAACGTGCGTGTAGAGTGCCGGTGAGAGTTCGGGAATAAAGAATTGCTGTTTGAATCTACAAGGCTGTGAGTGGCTCGTGATTTTGTGCCCAGCCAGACTGGCAAAAGCCCAGTGCCTAACATTCAGTACCTGCCTCCTGCCTTCAGGGCCCACTGTTACTGGAAACATTGGATTCACTGCTGCATTGTTTTGTAGGAATATTATTTTCCAGAACTCTCAGGGTGAGCCTGCCCACCTGGGAGTGGCGACCAGCCCGCATGCCCGCCTGGCACCTCAGTGCTCTCTGAAGATGAACGAGGCTGCCTGCAAGCTGTGAAGGGAGGTGCCTGATAAAGTCACTGGAGGCCTTCAAGGCCCTGAGGCCACCTCCACGGGCCATTTTGTGCCCCTGACTAAACTAGGCCTGCAGCAAGCTGGGTGCTGAATCCGTGAGTTTTGCAAAAAGTGTATCATCCGCGAGGCGGGCAAATAGACGAGCTGGAAGACCAAGCCTGAAATCTGCCCCTGGCCCGGGCTATGCCCGGGGAACAGGCAGATGGTCAGAGGGTAGGAAGGGCTGTCGGAGGTGAGGAAAAGTGGAGAAGCCGGGTCCACGCTTGGGGGTCCACACTTAGGAGTCCACACTTGGGGGTCCACACTTGGGGGTCCACACACAGGCAGTCGTACTTTGTGGCTCTTCAAAGACACACTTTTAGCTAGTGGCCCTTCATGTCAAAACGTCAGCCATCGGACACTTAGGACCCCAAACAACACAGACAAACTCGCCACTGTGACCCGTGTGCCTGAGGTGTCACCTGAAGCAAAGCTGATGGGGACACACACGCTGCTTAGCAGGGTGACCCTTAACACTGGTGAAGGGGTACGCAGGGTCTCCAGTAGCCCTCTGGTGTAGTGGGCATCCCCAGGTACTGGGCAGGTGCTGGGTGTGACCTGGGTGGGTGGGGCTTCCCTGGGGAGGGGCTCCCAGGCTCCCTTGGGCTCACCATGGCTGCAGAGCCACCCTCGAACCCAAGGCCTTCAGGGAGCTGTGGGGGGCTGTGTCCTTACTGTGGGTGTGACAGGTGGAGGGTGTGAGGACCTGTGCTGTCTGCTCTGCTCTGCGGCCCCAGGCTTCCTGCTGCACCAGCCTGTGCCCTGCCTTTCCCTGCTCCCCACCTTCTGCCTGGGCCACTTGACGTCTCTGGGACCCTCCCGACGATGGCACACGGTCATGGCACACCCGTCCTGCACGACGGTCACCCCATCCGCTCAGGGCCTGGGCTTTGGAAACTCACAGGCTTTTCTTCGTTTTTGGAGGAAACTCCCTTTCCTTGAAGAGCTGAGAACAGAGCTCAGACCCCCCACCCCCAGGCCCCAGGAGCCAGGACCACGGGCTTCATTTAAATAGCTGGACACAGCCCCCCGCCTCCCAGAACCCCGTGGGTCAGCGAGCTCAGAAGCAGACTCCTCCTCCAGAAGGAAGCATCTTTATTGTACAGAGAAGTCCACGGTGATTCAGCCATTCTTGACCTGGAGGTCCTGAGCATGCGTGGTTGAGGGCAGGGACTGGTCCTGGGTCAGAACCGGCTACTCTGGAATGGTCAGCAGCAGGTAGTCCTGTGAACAGAGGCAGAGTTGCGCTCCCCATAAAACCCACTCTCCCTGAGGCTGTTCTAGAGAGGGACTGCACCCTGTCCCAAGGACACTCCAAGAAGGAAGAGTCAGGGACCAGCTGGACAAAGAGGATTGAGCAGAGGGGAAGGAGTCTCGGAGATGCTTGCGAGCAAGGAACAGACCAGATTGGGGGCTTTTCCTGAGATACATTGACTGGATGAGTGAATGGCAATGAAGGAATGAGGGGCCATCAGGCCTGCCGTGCAAAGATGTGTAGGTTGTGCACTGCTCAACTCCTGGTGGCATTGGTCATGTAAACTATAGCCCTGTTCTGGGGACACCTGAGTTCTAGGGAGGTGGGTAGTCCGGGCTAAGGTAACAATAGGCTTTGAGTTCAGATGAGCCCCTTGGACTCCAGCTCTGCTGTGCTGGGCAAGTTTTCTCATTTTCTCTGCCTCTCTGAGCCTTTAGTTCCCTCCGTGATAAAAATGACTTTATGGAGCTGATTGTGAGAGTCCTGCATGTGTGGAAGGTGTTGAGCTTGTGAGCCCTGTGGTCTGGCTTCCTGAAGGTCTCTGTAGGTCTGGGGAGCCTCGCTCTCCTCATCTGTAATGGGGCCTGGCGTCCAGGACAGCTGTGAGAGGTGATTAAGGAAAGGGGGACAAAGGGCTGGGTCCACGCAGGCGCATCTTCCAACTGAGCCTCCGCCTCTGCGGGTGAGCGGGAGCCTCTGCCCCCCACCTCCCCTGCAAGGGGCTCCCTCTGCACCTACCTCGGAGAGGTCCATGTGGGCCTGGTTGAAGGAGAGGCCCTTGACGTTGGGCAGCAGGAGGCTGTGTCCTCTGAGCTGCGCTGCAAGAGGGGAGCTGGGGGTGAGCGGGGCCAGGCCAGAGGACCCTTCCTGCTCCCCTGGGAAGGCTCTGGAAAATGACCTTCCACAAGACAGCTCCCTGGGAAAACGTTACCCAACCTTAACGCTGGCCCTGAGGGGAGAGCCAACCTCCTGCCCTGTCCCCAGCCTCTCCACCAAACCAAACATTTACCCTCCCAACCCCAACGGGGCCTGTAGGGAGGGGGCAGTACTGAACCCCGGCCCTGGGCTTTGACCTTCCCCATGGCAGATGGTCCCTGGAAGGAGAGGAGCACAGAGTGAGGCTCTAGTCGCAGAGGAAGGACGGTAAGCAGTGGATTCCGAGTTGTGAGCTCTTCCCGTGACTTCCTACCACTGCCTTCCCGAGTTCAAATTTCAACCAGCACAACTAGGTCCCCGAGTGTCCCAGCAGCTCTGCCCGCAGGCTCCAGTGAGTAATTCACCCTCATGGTAAACTGTAAAACCCAGCCTCCTTCTATAACCTGGGGCCACCTCCACACCAGAAAATGAGCCTCCCCTGCAGGATGGGTAGACTTGCTGCTCCAGGTTGGCCTCCGGCCTCTGTCATTGTGAGCCACACCCCCACCCCCCAACCTTCTGGGGATTGAACCCAGGGTCCTGGGGCACTCAGAGGCCCAAGATCCTCTGTTTAGCAGCACGTTAAGGAATGATCAATTTGTTGAGGCTTCTCAGGAGTCCTTCAGGAAGGCGCATTGTTCTTCAGCTGTGGGAAAACTGTGCTGGAAATACTGAGCTCCTAAAAAATGCTGAAATGTCAGTAGAAACAGAATGGCTCAAAAACAGGAATGGAAAAAAGTCGGAATAAACCGAAAATTCACCTGAAAACGCTAAAAATTGGATTCTGCTAATAAGATGATATCCATCAAATATATAAGTGTATTCACAAATACACTTATCTACCCAGAGTCCTTAAAGCAAGTTTTTGGTAAACGTGGAGAACTGGTCATTTTGCAATTTCAGTTTCTGTGAATTAGCTACTCGGCCAGTTGGTTTTTGCAAACTTCCTTAGACTTGAACTTGAGGCCTGGCTTGGGCTCCCAGACTCCTCTTCAGGGCTGAGCAGCCCTTAGCCAGCCCCACCCACACTGTCACCTGGCCCCAGGGAAGGAGAGTGTAACCCCCCCCAACTGTGTCCTTCTGGCACAGACAGGTGGGGGTGGGATGGAGGAAGAGTGACAGGTGCGTGTCTTCCTTCTGTCCTCAGGCCATGCAGAGGCCTCTCCACAGTCCCTGGGCCCCAGCCTCCAGGCTGCCCAGCTTGGTCCTTTCCCTGTGTGGAGGCCAGATGGCCCTCCTGCCGATTCTCCTATTTGGGCTGCTTCTTGCAGGCAGCCCTTGGGGATTCCTCAGTGGCCTTGGCCCTGGCCTCCCCTTGCAGGGAGGCTGCAGTAGGAAGAGCACCCCTTTTCCCCAGCAGGCTGTGCCCCTGTTCACCTGGCACCTGGCTGCCTCTCTGGGTCTTCCCTTGCCACCCTCCTCTGCCCTCAATTAGTCCCCTTCTCAATACACATTTTATCACTTCATGCCCAGCTTCCCTGGCCCCGTAGGTCTCAGTCTGGCTGACATTGGAGCCCACCTGCTTCTTTACCCTGGGGTCCTAACAGGAGTCACAGCACAAGGACTCCTGTCGGGGAAGCCAGAAACCAGGGTTCTGGAATCAACTCTGCCAGAGACTTGCTATGTGACCTTGGGTCAGTCACTTAACCTCTCTGGACCTGGTGGGATGGTTCCATCTGAAAGATGAAGAGCCAGGGGGTGAGTAGATTTGGTCTGTTTATCCTACATGAGTGTCTTCGGGGCATGAGGCACTGGGCAGAGTGCTGGATGCATGGGAGACCTGGGGGCTCTGCTCTCAGGCAGCTCACCCTCTGGTTGGGGCGCAGACACTTAAATCATCACATGGCGAATGGTGATGGCCCCGCTCACTGCAGGGGAGGCTGAGGCCGGGAGGCCGAGTTCATCTCTGTAGCACTGAGCCCCAGCTGCACTCGGTCTTCCCGGCTCACTTCCCCAGGATACCACCGGTCACGGTGGCGAGTCCTGCGGCCCACGGGTGGAAGTTTGCACACTGGACAGGGACGCGGAGGCAGGCGGCACAGAGACCAGGCCAGACACATGTCACAGATCATTCCTGCCTTCTGTCCAGGAACGGGACTGACCTACGGGAACGGACCCACTTTCTGGTGGAAAATGAGCCACTGAACCAAGGAGGGGGCTGGGCTTGTATAGGCTGTGGGTGACTTAGTTGTGGGTGACTTAGCGAGCGGGTCACTCAGGAACTTGAGTCCTTGGGCTGGGGGTGGGTGGCCAGCACTTGGAGAGGGATCAGTGTTTTCTAGAGACTGTCACTGTTAGATACGACGAGACGCTTTCTCCGGCCGCGGCAGCACCGGGAGGGTTCCTCTTGGGAGAGGAGAAGGCCGTCAAGGTGGCCTCCCCACTTCCTCCCTCGGGTCTCACTGTCTTGGGTTTTAATTCTTATTTTTTCACATCACACAGGGTTTATTTATAAAGTAGTGACACAGACTTCTCCCGGGAGGGAGAGGAGGGCTACAGCTGGTGTCCTGGTGTCCCTAGGAGTGAGGGTGCCCTGCCCCTCTTAGGCTTCCTGGTCTTTCTTGGTTCTCCTGCCTCCTCCCCTTGCCTCTCTCCTTCTGCGTGTGACCAGGCCCAGGAGGCGCCGGAGGGTGGCTAAAAGGTGAGGAGCAAATGGACTGGGGCAGGGTCAAGAGGAGTGTTCCCGCCGAAAGCCCAGGAGACATCAACTAACAGACTTTTCAGCTCCCATAGGGAGGGACAATCCCTGGGACAGGTTACCTTGGCGACAGGTTGGAGCAGGGGCAGGTGGGGGAGGGCTCTGAGGCTCTGACAGTTCAGTCTCCCAGGGGCCCCCTGCAGCTTCCTGGCCCCAAACGGCCTTCCCCACTGCTGCCTGGACAGGCTTTCTTGCTTCACCCAGACCAGCCTTCCTCCCCGGGGCCTGCTTTTGGGGGAGCCCCAGGGAGACTGCGGAAGAGCTTGAATTTCTTCCTAGTATTATTAGTTACGAAAAAGACAAGCCCCCAGTGGCGAGGCCTGGGAGAAGGGAGTGAGAAAGAGCCAGACGCCGCCCACTCTCACCTCTCCCCAAAAAACCGTCTCCAGGTGCTGAGCACAGACCCCCGGCCCCAAGTTCAAATTCCCCACGTCCAACTGACCCGCTCACCAAGTCACCTCTCAGGATAGCCTAGACAAGCCCGGCCCCTCCTGAGAGCAGAGGCTCATTTTCCCGCAGGGAAGTGGCCCTTTGGAGGTGCAGTCTCTTCCCTGAGTAAAAGGCCGAGATGGCCCCTGACCCCTGATCCCTGATCCTGCGTCTGGCCCGTCTTTTTGTGCTAACAAGTGTCCGGCATTGGGGTGAAGATGAAGTGCAGCTCTCCGCATCTCTCAGGTCAGGATCCCTGCCCTGTGCGCGGTCACTGACGAGCCGCCCCTTCCCGTGGCCTCCCCGAGGCCCACCTGGTGCTCTGCCGGGCTGCCTCCCCCTCCCGAGCAGCCATGCCTGACTCCATTCCCAGCTGCCCTCACACAGCCACCCGGCAGGACAAGAGGGCACTTGCCCGTCACACCAGGTCCAGTGTCTGCCCTGCCGCCTGCCTTCCCTGAGATAGTTCTCAGCCCACCTGGGGACAAGGCCCTTTGGACTTGTTTGGAGCTGCTCCAAGCCATGTGACCTGTGGCATGGCGGAGAGTCACATGGGGCTTACCGTTGTGATGGGGCAGGAACCTCCTCTTCAGGAACCCAGAGAGAGAAGCCCGCAGCTGCTCCTCCTGCAGCAGAACAAGGGGGACAGGAAGGTCACCTCCAGGAATGTCCCCTCGGCTGGGCTGGCAGATCCTGCCCACAGGGATGAAGGACCCAGTGCACAGATGCCCATGGGGACAACATGGAGATCGCACTTTTGAAGGACCTTGGAGCCAGCTGGCCAGACTGGTGAAGGGACTGGGGGACACGGAGGGCCCCAGAAAGAGACACCCTCACCCTGTGGACTCTCTGGGGGAGAAACTGGTTGGTCTGTGGAGCCCAGAGCCAAAGCCTCACAGGTGCCCACTGGGGACAATCGAGGGAGCTCTCTAAGGCTGAGAGGTGCCAGTAATGTCACACGGGGAGCTGCCACCCCCTGTCACTGGGGACGTGCTGAGGGGTCCCGATCAGGATGGTCCCAACCCAGGCGGACAGGTTGGGAAAGGCCCCTCCTCTTCATCGCCCTCCTCCTATCCCCCGGGAGGTGGTCACAGGAGGTAGGTGGTGTCTATGACGCGGGTGGCACGGACAGCCGTGGCTTGTCTGACCACATGCATGGCAGCCTGGTCTGAGGACTGCCCCTGGGGCGTCACAGAAGTCCCTGACCCAGGCACATGATCCTCGGGACCTCCAGCCCTGGGACTCTGTGAGGTAGAGATGGAGGGAGGAAGGTCCAAGGTGGCGCGGGTGGTGACATTTGTCGTGTCGGCCGGGGTTGTGCTCTGGCCTGGCTGGAGTTAAGGACGACGTGCCGAGAACTGTTTTCTCATCCCACGTTTCCTCACACTCAAAGCAAAGACTGAAGGGCTGTCCCCGCTGGCCCGGGGGACACGGAGGAGGCTGAGAACGGAGCGTGCCCCTGGCCCTGCTTCTACACAGGCACCTGGCCCTGGGCCCTGGGCCCTGGAAGAGGCCTCCCCTCCTCCCTGCAGTCCCGTGCAGCGGGGAGCCCTGCGCGGCTGTCCCCAACATGCAGGGGATGAGGTGCCCGTGGAAAACCTGGCTCTGGACACCGCTCTTCCCCCACATCGGCTCCACTGAGAGGTCCCTTTAGTGCCACCTTCGAGCACACCCATAACTGACCGCTGCCCTCCAGTGCCACCAGCTCCTCACTCAGGGCCTCTCCAGTGCTGGGCTGCTCCTCCTGCCAGCCTTCTTCCTGGCTCCCGGCCTCCACCTGGCCCTCCAGTCTGAGCCTCCTCTACTTCGACACTCCCTTCCATAGCTCTTGGCTCACTCAGAGGACCGGCCACCCCTGCTGTGAGCCTGCCCCTGCCCCCTCTGTGACCTGCTTCACTGTCCCTGCGACAGCCACCTGTCCATCAGGCACGCCTGGCCAGAGGCCTGGGTCCACTTCTTCCCAACAGCCCCAGTCTTCCCACTTCTTCTCTGAGTCTCAGCTTGTCAGCGAGGCCTTCGCAGACCTTCCTTTTCAGTCTGACCCCAACCCATATGCCTGATCCCCTGTCCCCTCCCCCTGGTTGCCTGTGGCCTATGAGGTGCTCTACAATGTGCCCTACTGCGGCTGCTGGGGAGTGTGGCCTCACCCCTCTGACGCAGGCCTTCCACAGGGCAGGGACCTTCTCGCTGCTCCCCAACACGTCCCTGAGCAGGGCCAGGCAGAGTCGGTGCTCGGTTGGTGTTGGCTCAGTGTGAGGAGGAGGGTAAGGGGCAAGTTGAAGCCCGGAGGCTTCTCCCTGCCACCCCAGTGGGAGAGGAGATGGGACAGGAAGCGAATGAGCCTTTCCACCCAGCTGCACCAGTGCCTTGGGACCTTGGGTTTGTCCAGCGCTGGGTCCTTTGAGACCACAGGGAGGCCAAGGCTATGGGAAGGGACTCACCTGCTTCTTGAGAACAGCCGGGTAAGGGCCCAGGGTGACCACGGCACTATCAGAGGAAAGAGGTTAGTCTCAGTTCAGGGCAGCTGTCGGGGCTGGCGGGGTGGACACAGCGCCCCTCCCTCCCCCCATGCTGACAGCAGGTGGGACTGTGCCCACAACCACACCCTCCCCCTCCACTCTTGCTGCCGGCTGTCTTTTTTTTTTTTTTCCAGAACATTCCAAACCAAACAACGTTACCTGTTTGGAGTGAACTGGAGTTTTAATTTCTGATTTGTGGAGGAAAATGCAGCCCTTGTCAGGAGTTTCTAGGAGGAATTGAGAGAATGAGGTTGGGAGGGGAGTGGGATTTGTATTCCAGGCGGGGAACCGTCCGCTCCTGTGCCAGCGTGGGCCCCGCCAGGGGAGAGGCCGGGACTGGCTGCCCAGGGGGGTGGGGGAGCCTTTGCAGTGACCGTCACTGTCTCCAGCACCTGGCTCTGGAAGCAGAGAGCCCTGGGCTGTGAGGAGGCCCCTCCAGATTCACCTTTCAAAAATGGACTTTTTGCACCAGCCAGACGAGGCCAGCTTCTGGGCCACGGAATCTTACAACAGGCTCCAGGGACCCCGAGGACTCACGGACCCCCGGCCCCTTATCTGAGGCACCAGGTCTGTTAAATGGGAAGTGGTCACCTCAGGGGAACAGAATCAAGAGACAACCAGGGGCTGTCTGTCCCCCAGGCCCCCGGGCTGCCCTCTCAGCCTGGCTGGCCCTGGGGCATGGAGGACCCGGCCTCTTCCTGGGCTCCTAATGCCTTGATGCCCAGGGAGACGGTGCAGGGACCTTGGTCACCCAGCAGGAGTGCAGAGCCGAGGGGCGGGGACACGACCCTTCAGTTCTGAGGACACCGGTGGGCAGCCCTGGGGGTGGACTCCGGGAGCAGGTGCTAGTGGGCTTCACGTCCTGGCAGTGGGCACGGTGGCCTGAGTGTGACTGAATGTCAACTGACGACACGGTGGTGAGATCTGCCCTGCCCTCCTGTTACCCTGCCCACGGTCAGCGGGCCCAGGACCCCCTGGAACAACCACCTTCGAGCCTCACTCACCCAGGAAATGGAGCTGGAGGTGTTGTTGGGCCCCAGCAGTACCAGGGAGCCCGGCTGGGTGACCGTAGCTGTGAGGCCGTTCAGATGGACAGTGGGAGGATCCGGAGTGTTGATGGTCAGTCCCACGCTCCCTCTGGACCCATCAGAAGCCTGAAGGAAGTTAGAGCAGAGACGGTGAAGCCGTGGCCGGGAGATGGTCCCTAGGCCTCAGCTCAGAGAATGGGAACAAGACCATCTTCGGAGGCAGGGCGTCTGGATTTTCATTCTAGCTCTGCAGCAGCTTGCTGTGAGACCTTGGGGAGGTCGCTTACCCTCTCTGAACTTTTCAGATGTTGGATTACATCCTCTTTGTCCTGTTCATACTTAAACAAAGAACATAAATTATGGGCACCAGAGTCCTAGTCCTACCCCCTGTCAAGCTGTGTGACCTGAGGCAAGTTTCTTAATCTCTCTGTGCACCTACCCATAAAGCCAGGAGGGATTAAAGGAGCTTACTCAGTTCCCTCCCCTAAGTGCCGGGAGAACCCGCTCCTGGGAATGCTACACACTTGCCAGCACTTGTGGTCATTGTTATTGTCACTGCCCACTCAATGCCACATTCCAAAAGCCTTTGAAGAGGGCACTGAGCTTGGATTTGGGGGCCAGAGGCTGGTTTCAAATCCCGGTTCTGCCATGCGCTTCGCAATGTGAGGTGACAAGTGACTTCCCTGGTTGAGCCTCTGAAGGGGGGACCTGACCCGGTGGAGGGCTGCACACTGCCCTGCCCAGCGGGTGGGGCTCCTCAAGGTCAGGGTCACCTGTGCTGGCAGCACCTCAGGTGTGCATTTGCTGTCCCTCGTTTCCTCCCCAGGCCTGGGAGGCAGGTCAGGGATTTCTGGAGTCCCCGGCGGGGAGCCCTGGCCAGATGGAACCTGCCCAGCCCCGCCCCGTTCCAGAACCTTCCCTGACACTGGCCAGGGCGCTGGCAGTGCCCCTACCGTGGGCCCGGGCTCCAGCTCTCCCGGGGACAGCAGCTGGACCAGGTCAGCAGCCTGGAAAAAGGACAGAGTGTGTGTGCATGTCCTGCAGCCCCGGGGACGGGGACGCCGCCTGCGCTGTGGCCGGTCTCTGCAGGACAGGGGCCCCGCGCCCAGCGTCTCCGCAGGCTCCGTCTGGAAACTCAACTTCTCCTTGTTTCCCCGGTTTTTCTCTCAGCTGATTCTGAGAACTCCTACACGGCGACATGGAGAGACCGTCACGTGGATCACGTCACTCAGCACGGGTTCCCGGACGACCTCCTGGGTCGCTTTGCCTTGTACAAGCCATAAATGGGGACACCCCCACCCAGGGGACTTTCCCACGCCACGTGGGAACACACTAATCGGGAGAACGTCCGAGTCACTTGGGAACCTGCTGGCCACATGCACTGCCTCCTGGTCCCACCTGAGGTGACACGGGTCCTCCTTAGCACACTCCATTCTGCCAGACCTGCTGTATGTGGCCAGACACCCACGTCAACGGCACTTTCCCTCCTATCACAAGTGGGGCTGCAAAGAGTACCCTGGCACATGGACCCCCGTCCACGGGCACAAGAACTTCTGCAGACAAGGGATCACGGGCTTCCACCTAACTGCCTCAGGGCTCCACACTTCTGTGGGACAGAGGGGACGGGGGGGGGGGGGGC